CTTTTTTTCATGAATAATAATGAGATGCTCTAATATTTTATTATAAATTATACCTTTAGCTTTTTTCTTACCAATTTTTCCATTACTATTTTTCATAAGATTGTTGTACTAAATTACAAATTTTTTTCCGTAAGTAATCCAGTATAAGGTTTCTTCCTGGTTAGCTTTCATAGTATAATGTTCAGCATCGGTTGCCTTATTAAATAATTGTGCTAAATCAAGTAACAAGACTATAGATGAATTTTGGTGAAGGGATGTTGCTGAAATTTCAATCACATGATTTGAATCTGAAAGAATATTATCAATATTATCAGTGGAACCGTGTACAAGTGCATCCTGAATGCCATTAGCTATCACTTGAGTGATATTCTCTGTTCTCTTTTTCTTGTGCAATTTGCCCTGGCTTTTATTTTAATTCTGATCCCAAAGCTCTTTCACAGGTTTCAAGTCCAAAGATTCAGGTATCGACATGGTTGATATTTCTGATTATATCAGTGGAGTTAAGTTATTATGTGATTCTTGAAATTTTTTTTCCCAGTTCCTCTCTCTTATCTCACTACTAATCTTTTCCTTATGTATTGTTTCTACAAAATCTAGGATCTTAACTGAATCGTCATTGATAGTAAAGAGGCTATAGATATTTCAGGCTCTGACTTATGCCAAAACTTTGTCTCTCAGATTGGGTCGAGCTATGTTCTATTTCTGGAGAATGGCTCTCGGTTAACGGTAAAATATCTTTTGTAGATACTTCCTGTTCATTAGTAATAGCCTGGATCTGTTTCTGTTTCAATTTTATGATTCTATCTTTAAGCACAGTATTTTCTTCTACTATCTGTTCCAATTTGGCAAACCTGGCCTTGAGCTCAGCATTTTCAGCTTCTTGTTTGGCATTCTCTTCTGTAACCTGTTTTGTCAGTTTAGCATTCTTTGCCTCAAGCTCAGTCTTTTCAGCCTCAAGCTCAGAAATTCATTGTCTTATCGAATCAATCTCAGATTGCATGTTTTAGTAATAAATTGTAAATACCCGATTATTTATTTAAAATGCATAACTAATGTAACAAAAATTTTGGCAACGGGCTGTCGTCAAAAAAAATATGAATTAAATATGTTTATCACGAGGTATCAAAAGAAAATAAAAACATTGCAGATCATGCAATTAATAAATTTATATGATCGTGCAATACTTTATTGATTTTTTATTACACGCAATAAGCTATTTTATAGTAAGATTCACTTTTGCCCAATTATTCATGTCAATAAGTAATCAAGGTGTTGATTAAAGAATGTTATTTAGAATGCAAAGTAAATGTCAAACGTACCGTTAATCAATAATTCAATAATTAAATTACAAGAACACTAAATCTAAAACCTAATCCATACACAATTTCTATCAAGTTGGCCAACTTCAATCAGAGTTTAATTGGTGAGGATATCTAGAATGTCCCGATGGGGATGGTGAAGGCGGATCATCATAATCAGAATCGTCATGATCATGGTGCATATGATGCTCTACTGGATTTATGATACGTGATTTTTTTCCCGTAGGTTTTTGTGGCGAACTCTTAGCATCACCAATATAATTTTTTAATGCTATAGATTGAAAGCGTAAAAGTGTATTTCGACGATGTGACCTTTTGAATTCCTCAAGTACTTTGAGGGTATCATCTAAGCCTCTCTGTATGAAAAGAATAATGATCAAAACGAGATATTTCAATACTTCAATACAAAGGAATGAAGATCTTTCTTACTCTAAAATTTTGCAAAACCCTTAGTGCGTGCACCAGTTCATGATGATTCTCCCAACTGATTGGAAACTGGAAGGTGCCCATCAGAAACATTCGGTAAACCTTTGATACAGGTAAATCCATACCCATATTTGTACTTCAAGACCTGTACACAAGCAAAGACAATTTATTAACAAATATAAAAATTAAGACTTAGCTCATCTATTAACTTACTGTGTACATGGAAAAATCAAACACGTAAACGTCTCAGAATTTTGTAGTCACCATGATTAAAATTTGTAATTACATCATTAAGGAGATCACGGCATCCCCAATACCCCTTTACGTGATCTTTTAAATAGCGAGGCAGATCATTGGTTAAATAGCCACCAGATAATTCAACCATGCCAATCTCGAGTCCTCTCTCATCAGGGAACTGGAAAGAACCATCGACTTTCATGCCCAAAGGCTTATCATCATCAGGTTCAAGGTTACGTCGTAATAATCGTTGATTTGCGCTTGCTTTAAGATAAATCTCACCTCTATTTTTTGAAAAAAAAAGCGTGTATTTTTAATATTATAAGAATGAAAGTATTAATTTGATATTAGAATCAAAAACATACGGCACGTATATAACGTGTTTAGTTGCGTTTACAAGGTATTGTAGTACTGGATGAATCATAAGCGATCCCAACAGTGCTTCGTTCTTATTTATACTATGGAAAGTCGATGTAGTGTTGAATACGTTTTTTGCACTTCAAAATTAAAATAAATTAAGAAGCATATTGTAAAAAAACAAACAATATTCCTACAAAACCATTATACTTACAACCATAATAAGACATCTGTTACAAATATCATCTCTATATCATTTTCATGGTCAAATGTGATGTTATAAAGACACTTTTTATACTCATTTAACGAATTCTGTTATTGGTTAATAAAAAAAAACCAAATATATATAAATAACATTTTCATTAAGATAATTTGTACTTACGGTATCTAATAGTACTATGAAAAGATCTTCGATCTCAGTTGATAAATCATAATGCGGATAATCGACACTTGAATTTAAATAA